TGCCGCTTATGCGTTCTGCCTTCACATAAACCTTAGCCAATTGTTCAACATTATAATTTATTCTTACCGGAATGAAATTGGCTGATTTAGTCAATCTATCAACCATTACCTAAATAGAATCAAAATCCTCCAAAGTCTTGGGAAGACTAACCACAAAATCTATCGCTATTTTTTCCCACTTCTATTCTAGAATTGGCATTCTTTAAAGTAAACCTGTCGGCCTTTGATGTTCATACTGTACTTGTTGACAATTTTGACACTTCGCCATAAACTCTGTTATGTCTTTCTTCATGCCCGACCACCAATAAATTCGCTTCAAATCTCTATACATCTTGATCACACCCGGATGAATAGAATATCGCGAACCATGAGACTATGCCAACAATTTCTCAATCAAGTCATCTACTCTAGGAACACAGATTCTCCCTTTAAAATTGAGTACACCATCTGTATCAAGAGTGGTCCCTTGTGCCTTACCATTCACAGTCTTCTTTCTAAGCTCCTCCAAATTCTCATCCTCAAATTGTTTGGCCTTGATCTTCTCAATGAATGTGGCCCTCACTTCAATACTAGCTAACACCCCACTCTTTTTTAGATGCCCAATTGCATGAACTTAAACTCTAAGGTCTGAATTTCTTTAGCCAAAAGTCGCTTGGATACATTCAAGCAAGCTAAACTACCCATACTCACCTTTTTTGACTCAAAGCGTCTGCCACCACATTAGCCTTGCCCAGATGGTATTGAATGGTCACGTCATAATCCTTAAGTAACTCCATCCACCTTCGCTGTCTCAAATTCAGATCCTTTTGAATGAACACATGCTGCAAACTACGATGATCAATAAACACTTCACACTTAACACCATAGAGGTAATGCCGCCATATCTTAAGAGCAAACACTACCGTTGTCAACTCTAAATCATGTGTTAGACAATTTCTCGCATGCACCTTCAATTGACGCGAGGTATAAGATATAACATTCTTATCATGCATCAACACAGCACCCAACCCAGAATGAGAAGCATCACAATAAACAATAAAATATTTACCTTCAATCGGTAATGCTAGAATAGGTGCGGTGGTCAAAAGAGTTTTGAGCTTTTGGCAGCTCTCCTCACATTTTTCACTCCATTCAAATGGTATCTCCTTTTTGGTCAAGTTACTCAAGTAAGTGGCAATGGAAGCAAAATTTATCACAAATCGACGGTAGTAGCTAGCGAGCCCCACAAAACTCCTAACTTCCATCACAGAGCTAGGTTTAACCCAATTCTTAACCGCCTCAATATTTTGAGGATCTATCATTACCACTTCTTTTGAAACTATATGCCCAAAAAATGCAATCGATTTCAACCAAAATTCACACTTAGAAAATTTAGCATATAGCTTTTGCTTCCCAAGAACACCCAAAACACTACGAAGATGGTCGGCATACTCTTTCTCACTTTTTGAATAGACCAAAATATCATCAATAAACACTATAACAAACGAATCAACAAACGGTTTAAACACTCCATTCATCAAACTCATGAAAGCTGTAGGCACATTGGTCAAACCAAACGACATAACTGGGAATTCATAGTGCCCATAACGAGTCTTAAACGCCGTCTTGGGCACATCCTCAGGCCTAATTTTCAATTGATGGTAACTGGATCTAAATCAATCTTAGAGAAAACTGATGCACCTTGCAATTGGTCAAAAAGATCATCTATTCGAGGCAAATGGTACTTATTTCGAATAGTGACCCTATTCAATTGCCAATAGTCTATACATATTCTCATACTACCATCCTTTTTCTTAACAAACAAAACTGGAGCACCACATGGGGAAGCACTAGGACGAATAAATCCCTTATTAAGAAGCTCTTGGATTTGAGCCTTAAGCTCTCTTAATTCAGCCGGAGCCATGTGATATGGAGGGATGAAAATGAGACGAGTACCAGGCACTAAATCAATACAAAAATTTATATCTCTATCCGGAGGCATATCAGGCAAATCATTAGGAAACACTTCTATAAATTCAGACACCACAAGAATAGACCCAATGGATGGAGCCTCAATCTCAACATCCCTAATATGATCCAAAAAAGCCAAACAACCCTGCCCTATCAATTTCTTATCCCGAATGGAGAATATGATCTTAGTTCGCTTAGGGTTGTACACCCCTTCCCACTCTAATTTTTCCCTTTCCGGAATTTCTAGAGTTATGGACTTAGTATTACTATTAAGTACGACATAATAGAGGGACAACCAAGTCATACCTAAGATTATGTCAAAGTCAGTTATATCCAAAATCACCAAATCAGCCAAAGTCTGAAAACTCATAAACAAAATAGGACAAGCACAATGTACATGGGTAACTATGATTGACTCTCCAACTGGGGTAGAAACATGGATAGGGGTATCAAGTATATCACAAATCATATCAAACTCTGAGGCAAATCACACAGACACATAAGAATAAGTAGAACTCGAATCAAATAACACATTAGTCATTCGATCACAGACAAGAATAGTACATATGATCACCGCGTCAGACGTCTCTACCTCATTCTTGCCCGGAAAAGCATAACACTGAGCCCTATCATCTTGAAGAACCATTTCCCTACCTGGTTGCACATTACCTATACTTGCATTCCCATTTCCTCTACCTCTACGGCCTCACTGATTACTTCCTCGTCCACCTTGTGAACGTCCTCTATCATTATTACCATTTCCTGCAGGAATCACTGCTCTAGACTGCTGCTGTGCGGAATCTAACACACGTGGGTGGGGACAATCTCTCCTCATATGACCAGGTTCTCTACAGTTGTAACAGTTCGATTAAAAGATGGTCTGCCGCCCGTCGAAGGCGCGACTCCTTGGCTATCCTGAAAATTATGAGATGGAATTTCCGAGTAACTACCTGCAGAGGTGGGCATAACGGACTGAATTGGCTTGGCTGCAAGCGTTGGCCTCCTTGAACCTCTAGAATAAGAACCTTGAAAGTTGCCTGAATTCTTG